AGACATACCGCTGTGCCACTGCGGGCTCCTTGGAAGAATTTCTACTGGAAATTAACAAACAAGCAGATACGTAACAACATCATAACAGTTGTTGCTCATGTAACAACTGTTATGGTGTGAAAGTAAGTGAAGTGTAATTGTTATCAATTTATTCAAGTAAGCTAGAAACCCAAATTGGGGTGTGAATTAATAACACCAATAAGTATCTTAACATCAATTATTTATTATTATTTCTTAAACCGATTATTTATTTATTATTGTTTTACTTGAAATAGCTTTACTGTCATTCAGAAGAACTGGGGAACCAGCAAACTAATCTTCTTGGTCTCGGAGCGGTTCATACAACCACAGTGACAATGGGAGAAAACCACTTTAGTAATTCTAAGAACTTATGAGGGAAAGCAAAGGAGAATATGTAACAATATGTCAACCACAATATATTTACCATATCTATTGCCAACGAGGCCTTTCGACAATACCAGGGCTCATCAGGCCGTCTGTTACAAGACAGATATAGTAGTGGTCTAGGTGCTACTTATATCATAAATTGTCTGAACAATAACTGTAATGTTGTGAACTAGATTAATGTGTGCGCGCATGTGTATATATACATGTTTGTACAAGATTTTCAGATTTTCATTTGCAAAACTGAACTCTGAAAACTATCCCGTGAAGTTTAATTTATTCACGGAAACTATCTTGTTTTGTATAATAATACAACTTTCAATACTTTTTCATCCAATGAAAGATGTTACATTACAATTAGACCCCGAACATTTAATTGTTTAAAATTTACAATCCAAGCAAGTAATGAAAATTAATTAAAAACAATTGTCAAGGACGCGCACGTTCTTCTATGATAATAATTCGAGTTCTTAATGCAAGTGCTGCCATCTCATGAATATTTCATGTATAATCTAAATGTTGCTCTTTTTGTTGTCTAATGAAATATCTTCATACACTTTAATATCGTAAGTAACTAACAATACTCTCTAAATTGCAACAGTATTTCAGGATAAGTAAGTACATTTTTTAACTTTGTAATATATCAAAACGATAAGATACAAACTGAAATTACAAGCGATTGTATTTTTGTCTGCTGCGCCCTCTAAGGCTGGGGAAAATAACTAGTTATAACTGTAATATGAACATTATCAATTCCAATATCTATTCAAAACTTTGTGATAGTAAGGTGAAAAAGTGCATAACTACGTGAACTGAATCATATCTGACACGAGCTGGATGTGGCTAGAGTGTTGGATTGCGAATTGGAAGGTTCGAGCCCTCGATATGCTGCTGGACATGCTCTGCACTTTCAACTGTGATGCACTACAGCAGCTATAGTCAATCCCAAAATTCTGTAAAGCGTAGTCGTGTACGCAATGGGTACTGGTGACTGGTCCTCAGTTCTATGCTGGGTATTAGCCCGTTTAGCTCTGCGTAGCATAAAATGCCGTTCAAATTAAAAACACCTAATATCTAGCGCCTTTAAATAAAAGGAAAACTTATGTCATATCATACCTCAGAGTATGAATACATAAAAAATGAAAATTTTCTTTAAAAACAGCCCAATCTTCCTAAAATGCACATATATATGTCAAATAATCTTACATAGTACGAACATTTTTATTCAAATAATAATAATATTATTATAGAAAGGATAGCAGAATTCACCCAACATCTCAGGAAAGTAGTCATATAAATGATAAACACTCCAAGATATATGTCAAAATTCATTCAACATCTTCACAAAGTGGAACATAGGGAAAATGGCAGAATCCGCTTAACATCTTAGTGCGCATGTGAAAGAAAAGTGGCAGTATTTTTTATTTTATATATTTTTACGCAGATAGATAGATCACTGTTGAAACGGGTTTGTGATCCTAAAATATATTTCCAAACGCTTACGTTTTTGTTCCATAGATGGCAGCAATGAAACAGTTATGTTTTATGCGTTTTGACTACGTGCGTGTTAAATGCATGCAACTTTTATATATTTTTTTATTGTTAATTTTCTGCAGAAAACTTTTATGTACATAAAAAAAGTTAATTATCACGTGATAACTCAAAAATACCTTAATTGGAAAGAACAATAATATTAATCCCAATTCCTTTCTATGTAGGCACCTTACTCCCAGTAATTAAAGGACCCCTTAAATCATTAATAGCTCACCCTGAGGTATTGAGAGCAAAGTTGAACAATCTATGTAAAATAGCTCCAGCGTTGTTCATGTATTGAAAACTCAGCTTTACACATTGGAATATGTAAAATAATACTTTATTCATGACCTATGCGTGGTTTGAAAAAAAAAGTAAGATTAACAAGCTGGTCATTGTGAATTGCATATCGGAATTTGACTTTTAATTTATAGGTTTACATTATACCAGTTGTCCACTAGTTGTGACAACTGTGTCAGTCGAAAAAGCGTACAATGATTACAGACCAATATAACATATATATATATATATGGTATATTCTGACTATATCATCATTGAAAAAAGTATTATCTAACGTCATATTAACATTTTCATACTGTCACTAATATTGAAATACACTGCTTTTTTTGGTAAGTTTTGAGAGCGAATATTATGATGTTAGTCAACTTTTCCCCACTACCTTGTACTTGTTCAGAAAACTGTGGTAAGAAACTGAACTTCTTTTATTGTCTTTTTTTTTTAAGCATGCGAACCGCGCACACTCCAGTCCAAGAGCTTAGTATGGTAAAATACCTATGGTCACTACACGTACCGTACCTCAGAGGTTCAGCTGCGTGTAAGTCGACTTGGCTCTGTCTGGCGAGCCGCTTTCATTGTAGGTACACTGTACTCACATCTATGTACTTAACTTGCAGCTGAGGTTATATGGAGTAGCATAAGTGGCATTTGAATAATTCGGAAATTAGAATACCCAATATGAAGTCTTGTACGTAATTTGTCTTGCCCTTTGGGTGTCCATGAAAAAATTACCAAGTTTGATATCAAACTTAATCAGATGATGTCACAGAGGAATTTAGAACCTCAGACCCACATTAGACAAGCAGTCAATGGTAAGTAGGTGCCTTATTTTGATAATAATGTTTGTAGAAGGTTCAGCGTTTAACGATAGAGAGCCTCTGCCAGAGTAGTTAGCCTGCATTATGACTATAAAGTAGAAGTTAAATAATATTCTTGCAGGGCAGGGCCTTGTTATTAAATATTAGTGTTTTACAGTAGACCTAACGCCCTCACTTCTGATATGTAATCGGGTGGCAGCATGAAGGACCCACTTTCTTTTTTTTTTTAAACAGCAACTATGTGTATAGTAAGTGGGTTGCAAATCTGTTCAGAATGATTATTTTCATAACTCACCGGCTGGTTTAAGCACTCTGCTAGTGTCACTGGGTATGAGACAGTACTACTTGCCTCATATGGACTTTGAACTGTAGCGCTGACAGTCCGCCAGGCCGAAAATAGACAAGAAAGCTGAAGCTACCTTCATTCAATATTATATAGTTGTACCAGAATTCTCAAGCAAGTCTATTGAACCACTTGATGTTTTATATGACTCAGTGAGGGGTAAAGTCAATGAACAACAAATGTAAACTCTACTAAAATATTTGTACAATTCATGCACTTCCTGTTCCACGTGGACGCGGTACCACTATGTAACAAGAAATGTTGTGGTTGGATTGTGAAAGGAAGTTGCTAAAGGTTAATAATAAAGACGTTTTTATGCCTGTATCTGGTTGTGTTTGTTTGTTTATAGTTAAACACAAAGCTACAGAACGAGCTATCTGTACTGTGCCCACCTTGGGTATAAAAACCCGGTTTCTAGCGTTATAAGTCCACTGGGGCCTATATGTAGGTTTGTTTGTTTAGAATTTCGTGCAAAGCTAAAAGAGGGCTATCTGCGCTAGCAGTATAAGACTAGAGGGAAAGCAGCTAGTCATCACCACCCACCGTCAACTCTTGGGCTACTCTTTTACTAACGAATAGTGAGATTGACCGTCACATTATCACGCCCCAACAGCTGAAAGAACGAGCATGTTTGGTGGGACGGGGATTCAAACCCGCGACTCGCAGATTGAGAATCGAGCACCCTAACCACCTAGCCATGCCGGGCCTATATGTAGGTACTAGCGTAAAATATTATGGCCATTATGAAAAATATATAGCTCTAAATGCTGCTGTGTTTTTTCATTCAAATTCATAAGAAACAGTGTCACCAAGTTTGACGCCCAAACAGAATTATGATTATTTCATAAGACAATTATCATTAATTTATTAATAAGCAAAAATGATGTTGCTAACGAGAGAAAAAACGTGTTTATGCGTCAATTCATTGTGAAATGAAAAAAAAAAAAGAATGTTATAAAAGCTTGAATGTTCGATGGAGAACCGAACTGATTTTGAAACATATTTTCCTAAACTATTTATGCAACTAATTGCTTGTGGGACCATGACTTTGTTGATTACACAGTCTTGATAAAGATATGCCTCTTATCTTGAATCACAGAAAATGCCGTCAGTACTAACCGCTGAGATTTCCTATGTATTTGACTTGATTTCACCCAATTTTTTAATCAATTTTCACATATTAGTGTTGTAACAGGGAAAAACATAAAACAACTCAACTATCTCTTGCACAGCCCATTAGGGATTGCCATTCATTAATAGGAGTGGTTTCTCTAAGTTTATGTTTAACGTAAATACATGATAAATAGAGTATTATAAATATGGCTAATTGTGTAATGTGACGTTTATAGAGACATGTGATTTTTCATTTGCATTGTTCTTGCTGCATGATTTAACAGAGTTATATTGATTTCTACAACTTTAAAAATGTGCAGAATAACTTTAAGTTCTAGTTGCTCCTGGTGTCATGATCTCTACTTAATTAATGGTCCTACTAATATACATGCGAACACAGGTTTCTAACTTGTATCAAAAGCAATACCTTCACACAAAAAGCAAAGCCTACATCATGATAAAACTGAAAATACTGAAAAACTGGAAATGGGAGAAGAATTAAGCAGATATAATCATTTTCACTAAAAAGCCTTTATCGGCTCAAGTCGTTTCACCATCAAGTACTTTCTTTGTACGTTCACATATATCAACCTATCTATCATATACGATATATAATATACATATATATGATAAAACATTACAATCCTTGAACTATTTTGTTTCTTTCTCTTCTTTATTATTTTCTACAAATACCGACCTCCTCGCTGAGTTGAGCACTCATTTTCGACAATTGAAATGACTACCAAACTCGTACCGTTCATCCGATAGCCTATCCATTTAAATTCGATCTTTGAAGAGTCCATCTAGGCTTTTGTACCAAATTTCATCGAAATGGATTCAGCCAATTCCTTAAACCAATGAGATACCAGACAGACAGACGGACAGACAATTGTGCTTTATATATATATATATATATATTTGGGGGGCCGCGGGGGAGGTCCTGCTAGTTTGCCAGTCATTGCGACTTACTGATCCGATACGAAGTAGGATAAAATGTATGATTTTAAGAAATTGGAGAGCTTTTTTGTTTGATTGATGGAAATTTCGCGCAAAGCTACACGAGGGCTATCTGCGCTAGCCGTCCCTAATTTAGTAGTGTAAGACTAGAGGGAAGG